ATTTCGAAAGACTGCTTCTAGAAAACAGAAACTTCCAAACACACAAGGAAGTAAAATTTGAGCAAAGGGTAGATCTGACAATAAAGATTTAGAAAAAAGCACTTAAGACAAGAATATCCAATAAGGCACCTGGTCCGGGAGATATACCGGAGAATTACTGAAATATGTCCCTATAAACTGCACCAAATGCTCAAACACATGTTTTTAAGGTGCCATGAATGGAGAAATCCCCCTCAGGAGTGGCGAACGTCTTACCTAACACCAATCATAAGAAAGGATCTAGAGACAATGAAACAAACTACAGAGGAATGCAGTTATGGATCTATAGGTAGACTGTATAGCAAAATAATACGAAATAAAATAGAAGAAGAGATAAAAGGAAAAATAGGAGAGGAACAATGTGGTTTTACTGCGGCAGGTCGGTCATAGACAATATTATTTACATTTAAAACAACTTATAGAAAAGAGAACAAGGAGAGGTAGGGAGTTCATCTGGGTTTCATTGATCTTCGAAGGCGTATGACAATGTACCGGTTGCTAGAGTTGGGAAGAAATGGATGGACTTCAAATCAGTGAAAACTTAATTGGAGCCACCAGAATCTATATAAGAATAACACCTCTCAGATTAAGATCTACAGCAGGCTCTCGATCCATTCCCAGTCAGACAGGTCTGCGACAGGGTTGCTGTCTTTCTCCAAACTGTTTAAAATATTCTGCATCAAATTTTGCAGCAGTGGGAGAAACAATGCAGAGTAATGGAAATGACGATCGGAGAGGATAAATTGTTTACGTTATAATTGCCGATGACCAGGTAGTAATTGCTGAAGATGCATGGATTTGAGTTTATGATCCGTAAACTCAATGAACACTTTTTAAAAGCAGGACTATATCAATTGGACAAATCTGAATACCTGTAAGTTGTAAAAATGAAATAGATTCATTTCTTGTGAAAATGGAAGAAAAATAAAGGGGTAAACAAATATAAATACTTGGTGTACTTTTAACAATTAGGGAAATAGCCATGACGAAATGAGAGACGAATAAGCGTTTGGGGAGAAACGTGACACGAAGTATAAACCTGTCTTATGGAAACAAAACCATCACTAACACTACTAAAAGACGTCTTACCTCCTCGATAGTTAAGAGTGTTACAACATACGCTTCAGAAGTCGGGTGGAGATGATAAAGAACAAAAGGGAAGCTGCTGGCCGAAATGGACTCCTGGCGTAGAGCTGCTGTTATAGCAGACGTGACAGAAAGGACGACGATATAAGAAATAAAATGGATATTCAAGAAATCTATCCTTAACGAAATGGAAAAAACAAATCGTCTGGTACGGTCATGTTATGCGAATGACAGACGAAAGATGGCAACGAGTCCTGAAATGGGTGCCGACAGAAAGACAGAAGAGAGAAGACCAGACTTGCATGGCACCAGGGAGTGCAGAGGCTATGACGGCAAGAGAAATGCCAGATGATCTAGGTCCAATAGAGAGCATGGAGATTGAGAGCGGAGAAACCGGCGACAGCTGTAAGAGCAACTCCGTACTATATATATATATATATATATATATATATATATATATATATATATATATATATATATATATATATATATAATATATATATTATATATATATATATATATATATACTCAAATTTAGTTCTCAAGCAAAATCAATTTGAACATATTTCCAAAACAAATATTTTTCTAATGCAAGTTCAATATTTTATTTGAAACAATAATAAATGTATAATTAATATCATTTCTTATAGTTCAAGGGAAAAGGCAATAATAAAGGGAACACATTTAATATTTTTGATTTGTAAGGTAAACAAATAGTACAATACATTTTTCAGATGCACTGTTTTATTTATTTCAATGTTTACATTTGTGTCATTTCTATTGGGTAAAAAGCAAACCAATTTTATCAAAATGTACCTTTCTTGTCCTTATTTGGAAGAAGAAAAAGTAGTAAATGTAAAGTTTTGTATAATTTTAGATTTTAAAGCCACTGTTTTCTTTTGTAGGGCAACTTTATATTCCTGTTGATCCTTTCTTCCAAGATATGTAAGGGTAAATGAAGTTAAGGCTTGGGAGAAAAAAATGCAAACAGATAATCTTCTGAAAACATAAATACCTTTGCCAGAAGTTTCTCTTGCCTTAAAGACTAAGATGCAATTGTGGATGACGCGTCCTGTGATGAACTTGGGGTTGCATCGTCATTATTGCAATCAGAATTATATATTTTTCTGTAATTTATATAATATATGAGGGAATGGGGCTAGATGTACATGTATTCATTTCTATTTACTCGTATAACGAATATTTTGAATGTAACAGTCCGCAACACAAGGTCACACAGCGCTCCCCCTGCTCGCGCGCGATCGGGAAAGGAAAGGGATCTTAGTATTTGAAGATACGAAACATAATCCAAATATTCACAAAACATGCAGTTCTTTTCCTGAACTCTGCTTTCCATCCTTCCACATTTTCATATTTTTTGTATTACTTAAGAATTGAAAATACGAAATTAGTATTTATTAATATAAGATTGTTATTTCAACTTCATTTAAAGGGTATCATACCACAGGATATTAGTGGCATCGTGAGACCTTTAAACTAAACACACTGCAACAGTTTTGTGAATATTTGGAATATGTTTCGTATCTTCAAATTCTAAGGTCACTTCCCTTCCCCAGCGCGCGCGATACTCTTCATTAATAGAATGTAAGTAAATTCAGAAAGACATTGTATTCCTGGTATTAATTATACCTCTTTCAGTATTAATTGCTGGGCTGGGAGAGTAGAAAATAAATTTGGAATAGCTTCATTCCTTAATCAAGGTCCGCTTGCATATGTTGAATTCATTTAGTCTACACTGAAGTGAAGGCTACATAAAAGCGAATATGAAGTTGGAACCAATTTCTCTCTCCTCAGCTCTAATCTTTGCTTGCCTTCTTTCTTGGTCTTTCTCACTGGGAAATCTAAAATTCAGAAATGGATGTTATGAACAATTTTCCAACCACTTATGATTATATTCTTATAAATAACACCGATGTAAATAAATAAAATGGTTCTATAATATGTAAATCACCAAACCGGAATATTACGTAAATGGACTCCTTTATCTGACAAATGTTTCAAATTTTGCAAAGACAATTTTTTCGCGGTTTCTTTCTAGTGCAGCCATAAGCAGTCCAGATTACCATTTTACGACCCTGAAATAACGACAGATAGCTTAAACCATTAAAAAATAGTTAAAGGATAAAAAGAATATGTTAATATATAATTAAAAGAGGTCTTGGTTTATTATGTTCACTTTCGTCTTGCCTTTATCATGCTAGATACTCACCTTGAAAAATATTCCTTCAAAGATCAAACAGTTTATTTCTCAGTCAAAATATGTTTATTAAACTTTTTCCCCAGAAAATAAAAATAAATAACTCGTGGTAAAGCAGGAAGCAAAGCAATAAACCGATAGTAACTAGCTTGCAAGCCTGGATATTGAAACACACTGATAATTGTGAGACGTTTTGGGCAACAAAACATGCCGGACAGTCCAGCGATTGGCTTCATCCTTTGGGGCCAATGCCGCCTCCATATATTATAACCTTCTTGGGTCCAACGCACAATTTGCACACTAATCCAAAACAATTTATTTAAGAAAGCGGCCATTAATCTAGAAGTGCACCTAGGTGTGCGAGTGATAAGTGGCCTCTGAACACTCATTGCGCAGGTTCGATCCCGGCTAAAGGGCCGGGAAGGGGCCTTTACGAAGAGCGGTCACAGCCATTTCATACTCGTAGCATGAAAAACAACCCTGGCAACTGTCTGGCAAAATGAAATCCCTTCTGCAATTGCCCCTTCTAACAAGATCTCCCGTTTTCCCCACCAAATGGTTGGGATATAGATAGAGGAGATTGTCATCTGGCGGAGAAAGTGGGAGTCACAACCCAAGTGTTTCAGGGAATGTCGGTGGAGCGCACATGAACAAAAAAGGTCCCCTAGACCCGCGCCGGCCCGGCTGGGGTAGGTGTCAAAGGAATCCCGGGTCAAAAACACGTACACATGGTTGCGGAACTACGGTCGATGGCTGTGTCCCCGCAAAATGACCCATAGGATCAAGAAATAACAATCTAAGAGGTATATGTTGAGCAAATGCGTCTAAAATATTTTGAAAAGAATCTATTAGAAAATAACGAAAATAATCTAAGAATATTTGCAATTTCTTGGTACATGCACGATGCGAAAACTCTGCGCACGCCATAAAAACAACCCATTCATGTTTGAACAAAGTAAACACAAATGTTGGTGCTCGTTCACATGAGTGCCCGTCTCTCACTCGTCACTTTCGTTCACCGATCCCACGACCACATACGTCGCGGAGTCAATTCGTGAACGGGGGAACCATAAGACAAGTAAATATGTCAGATTATTGATAATACGTGATGTGATATTCTACACCTGTTACATTTTGTATTTATTAGTCTGCACATATAAAAATATCAAGTACAGTGCAACGAACCTAGATATTAAAAAAAAAAAAGAAAACGCGAAGGTTTCGTTCAAAACAAATGATTCTTCGTACATATTTGACCGAGAACGAGTGTATGCAGAGCGATGTAGTCACGGTGTAAGAGAGTTATTTACGATGTAAGAATTCTCTTACACACTTGACATACTCTGCTTCATGCACTGCAGAACGAAAAAAAAACGGGAGGGGAGGATGCACTGCACTTGCAAATGTCACGCGGACTTTTACCTATTTTAGCACATTGACCTTCCGGTGCCACGTGAAAATATAAACCTTTCGTAAACAATGTTCATAATGAAGCCCCCTATTATTCGAAGAAATTAACATTCGTAATGGATTGAGTTTGAATGTAACTTGTGTTCTGCAGTATTTTGTATGCATTAATGAAGACTTTGGCGTAGGTGCTTCTTTTATTGACTAATACTCATAGTTTAAGAGATTTACCTATTTTCTCAAAAATTGGTATCACTCAAACTCACTTTCATTACCCAACTACCTCATGTGAATTGGCAATCTTTACAGGATTATTTTGTATTTATTGCATTGTTGCACCGCTACGTCTACGGTTATGAACCAGTATACAACAATCATAGGTTAATTGTGTTGCTGTACAATGGGAGGATTAAGAACCGCATTTGGTCAAATATCTTATTGGGTTGTTTGCCCGCGCTTACGACGGTTTACGGGCGAAGTTCAACAGACGTTCAATTGGGGATATGTAAATAGAGATCAGCTGGAGAAGCCGAGCCGCAACGAGCCGGGTATTTTGTGTGCTTGTGGCCGAGCTAGGCTAAGTGACTGAAGTGCGTAAGTGAGGGTATGTTACATGGATGATGCTCTATTATTGGAAACAACATGTAACTGTGACGAGTGAGCGATCGAGCCTTGTTCTTATACTTTCGACAGTCCTACAGCCACTGCTATTGGCGTTTTCTGTACACGTAGATATGCGATAGGTTAGGAATTTAAGGATGTTATGGAAAATATTTAGTTGTTATGGGTGTAATTCTGTTTTCAGTTCATATATTGAATAATAAATTAATTTAAGACTTACGGAACACATATTCAAAAGTAATTAATTTTGGTAAAAATTTTAGAGTAGTACTAAATTTTGTAGAGGAAATTATTCATGGTTCAGAAAATATAGTATCATGAAATAATACAGTACCTTTCGAGCCATTCTTATGCTTTCATGTGATCACACATACAGTGAAGGAATGTGAATTCATTAATTGATGACATTGTTGACAGAAAAAAAGATGTAATGAAGGGTATAGTATATGCTTCGAAAATGTATCCTTATTCAAACAATCTAAATTATATAACTTTATTTTTCAGATTGAAAACTAATCAAGAATGTTTTGTAACAGAAGACTGAAAGGATGTGTAGAAAAACTAATTTCTCACAAAGAGCAAGTAAGCATTGAAAACTCAGAAGTTATGAACACTATTATTAAAAAAATTGAATGCAATTGTTATTACATCAATATTGTAGTTTAAAGAAGCTTACATAAGCATCTAATTTTTATTTTTCTATAAATTTATGTAAGTATTGAAAATAATGATTATGAAACATTTTATGGGAAATTGAATGCCTTTTTGTTTTCATATTTAAATAATAAGTAAAGGAATAGGTCATTTTTCCCATTGTTGTTTGATTTTTCTTTTCAAATGTTTCTGCTATATGACATTTATTGCAAATGACTCGACAATTTGGTATCTATATGAACTTAGCCGTAGCTTTAAAAATAATCTAAACAAGCAGCCTGGACAAATACAATGGTTTCATTCTTCATTACAATTAATTTTATAGATACGTATCTAATAAGTTTTTGATTGTGACTTCTTGCTGATTTCTCTTGAAATGCCTTTTGAATTAAAAATTGGTCTCTTCCACTTACATGGTGTTCATTGGTTTGTATTTCATCCCTACAGTTTTTGCAAATCCCTTTGATAACTGACGTTCAAATATCGTCATTCATATACTAAACATCTCTTTTCCATTTGTTCTTATCCTGAATTGTGAAAAATGAATAGTTTTCATTCAACATTCCCCCCTCCCCGCAAGCGACAATACTTAAATATACGTGATTATAGGATTAACAATTGATTATATATTTTCACAATAGAAAATTTTGATATCATTCCATTTAAGATTAAAACCTGAAGTGAGTGTCTTTTTAGTTACAACATAATGTTTGTAGAATAGTTTTAAATTATGTATATATTATTTTATTCGAGTTCCTAAAGATATGTGTGGTTCCAATAAATGTATAATTATTGTTGTCGTAATTAATTTGACATAAACATTATGTAATCTTTCTATAGGAGTTATATCTTTACATTGAAATATGTAATGGTTAAATTTTTTAGTAAATGAAAATACAATGTGAATATTATATTTGCTTAGCATTATTTTTAATCAAATAAAGAATTAAAAAAAATTGTATACGAACAGTTATAGGTCAATTGTTTAATTGTAAAGAATTATTAGAGTTTATATGAGAAAAATATTTTTTATTATTTTTTTTCAATGTAATAGGAAGCTAATTTACTAGGAAAGTTATTGGCAATTAGAATTCATTTTATACGTGAGAGATTTTCACTATGAAATATTTTATCAGAGATTACAATTGCGTTATCAACCTTGTTATATACCACCTTTTTTTGTGTGTGTGTGTATTGAGTGACTCAACCAAAAAACTGGAATTCTACCAGAATAAATTGTGTTTTTATGTCAATTTGTTAACAATTTACTATTGTAATTAATAATTTCAGTATCGAGAACATTTAGTTGCAACTCATATTTTAGTTCATAAGTGAACTATCATTTAGGATAATAATTATCAAAATTTTGTGTAATACTGTCAATTTGTTGTTTGGTATGATACAAAATATGTCATCTTATCTATCGTAATATATAGGAGGGAAATCTAAGGCATTGGTTTTCTAAATCTCGCTTGACAAATTGCAAAGGTGGTGATAAGAGTACTATCTGTTAGTAATCCAACAATTCGCGTATAAACATTCTGTTGTGAAATTTAAAAAGAAATTAATGGCAATGAAGATGTCGTCCCAGATTATATTACAGTGTTATAATTTTCAGACACTATTGATGACTATCTCATTCACTAGCTCACTTGGGAAATCATATGTTCATTTAGAACAATGATATTCTTAATGTATTTCCAAAAAAGTTGTTACACATGGGAAATAGTTGAGAAAAATGTTTTTAAGAACATCATTCAGCACTATCACGTGACTAGGAGCGTGGCTACCGCGACAAACAGCAATGTACTGACTGATGGCATATGTTACACACATTTGAACGCAAGGAACATCACAGTGCAGCCAACTTTTAGCAAACAAAGTTTATTGTAACATTAAACTCTAAGTAAAGCCCCAACAATCCCCTCCTTGGTTCTCCAGATGATCATTCCGTAAACGTCTTCTTTTAATCGCACACAGTTAAAATCGCTTACGGTAGATTGCCACTGAAGCCACGTGGTTCCATTGTTCTGTTAACCTCACAAATTTGTCACGGTGAGGTCTCTATCGTCAATAATATCGCCAATACTCGCCAGCTGTGCCACCGTTTTGTTCACGTGTCCCAAATACGATTCCATGGAGTTGTATTCATTCAGTTCGTTCCAGTACAACTTACGACGGCGTTGCATAATACGAAAATACTGTCGCGTGATGTGTACAGCCGTTGCAAACCTTCCCGTACTTTTCTTATGAATTCCAGGTGTCGGATGTGCATCTGCTGCTCGTCGCACACGGCAAGAGCAATTTTTGCGTACGCCTTTCCTTGTCACGATACGTATTGACCTTTTGTCCTCCCCTTCATCTTCGGCGAGTTCATCTTAAATGGGCTCCACTAGGGTCCATTGGTCACACTTCATCAGCCCCATTTTAATTTGGTAAATCCATGACGAATAGTTTGCTCCATTAAGTTCGTTAATCGTCGTTCTATGCGCAGCCAGGTCGAATTAATTCTCTCAAACAATTGGGATTCGGTAAGACAATTTACCCGTGTACGTGGTAAAGCACTTCTCGCGCTTCCAATTCACACCGTTCCACTCGCGGATTTCTCGCGTTAGCAGTAAACTGAATTCCAGCGTTTAACCTTTTAACACGGCTGGGCCCATAACCAATGTTACGTATGGAAAATAGTTGAGGAAAACTGTTAACGAACATCATTCAACACTATCACATGGTTCGAAGCCCGACTACCTCAACGAATAGCAACGTACGAAGGGCGTATTCTATTGTTTTGCACTTTTATTTTTCTACCCAAATGAAGTACATTACTCATCAATTGTTTCGTCCAACTTGTCAATATAATCTTATAAATATGCACTTTTGTCATCGATGTGTTAGTCTCTCCAGACCTGGTTGAAACCATTCTTTCGGAGTGCTACGTACCAATGTCTTGACAGCTGTATCAAGTTCTTCAAAATTAGCAAAATGGCGACCACGCAGAAGCTTCATGTTCATAATCACTTTGTGCCAAGTCAGGAGAGTATGGTGGATGTGGCAGCACCGTGAATCACATTTGATCAATGGCAGCAGTGGTCTCTTGGCTAGTGTGGGTGTTGAAGCACACCTTTAGCCTGGAGGCTTAGTTTGAAAGGCACGACGTAAGCGCTTAAGGGTTGACACACATGTAAATCGTGGCCTTCAATGCCAGTCAGTCAATGAGAATGATGCCCTTTATATCCCAGAACAGTGTCGCTATTCGCTTGCCAACCGATGGCACTGTTCGACATTTCTTTGGTGATGAACTGCCACTATTCTTCCTTTGCTTCGATTATCGATTCGTTTGTGGCTCATGGTAATGGAGCCATGTCTCATCACCGGTCACAGACCTAGCCATGAAGTCGACTGGATCTTGATCATGGCGTTGCAGAAGTTCTCTACACACGTTCAGACACCTCTGCTTGTGGTCTGCAGACAAGAGTCTAGGCACCCCCCTGGATGACACGTTCCCCAACTGTAAGTGGCCGTGCACGATCCGCTGCAGGATGTTTCTGCCAATTCTCGTGTCTGCGTCCATTTCCGTAAATTTGGTGCATTTGTTTCGTTGGGTGGTCTATTCGGCCCGGGCGATGTTGGCTGGTGTTGACACTGCCCCATTCCTTCCAGAACTGGTTCCCTTGTCCACCGACGTGCGCCCCCTTTTCCTACCTTACACCCAGTTGTAAACTTTCTCCCGCGACGGCACATGTTCCCCACAGGTTGCCACCTAGCGCCGATGAATTCCTGCAGTGGTCACGACATTTTTCCAGAGGAACCGAGTCGTCCCTGATGGTTGCTTTCCTACGCTGATAGTGTTGTTATGAAATGGTTATGACGAGTGCCCTAGTTTGCCCTTATGCATGTGCTGCTACCAAATCGTGGAACAAGACACTAGTTACTCGTCACCACCTTTAGAAGTGAAATGTGAACCACACCCGGACATACAAAAAATATGTAAAACAATATAGAACGCCCCTCGTACTTAGAGGTAGCCTATGTTGCACACATCATGATGAAAATGACCATGTTATTTCCACCATGGCATACATTTGAACGCATGGGACGCCACAGTGCTGCCGACGTTTAGCAAACAAAGGTTTTTCCGTGGCATTAAACTAAGTAATCCTCAACAGATGTAAAGGAATTCTTAATAGTAAAACTGTTTTATTACAGGCCAAAAATACTAAAGAATATGAAATACATAGAAAAATACTTATAAAAAAGATATTAGGAATATCGAAAATTGATATAAACGTACTGTCAGTGGTGGATATAATTAGCCTATAAGGCGTTAGTGAATTTATTTATTTTAGGTAAAGCATATGCATAATGGATATTAACAAAATAGTTTCTTAAAGATTATATTGTCGATAAATTTATTAAACAATTCACCACCTGGACACGGTTGGAAATTTGAACATAAATTGTAATATGTTTATTGTTATTCCATCTCGGTTATTACATTACATTTTTTCCTAACTCGTTTCATTTACATGCTTTTTGCGACCTGAAACCTTTCCCTCTATTAACTTCATTCGCATAAAATTTTCTTCTAGCTACTCATACATGATAACCACATTGCTTCAAAAAATTTCCTTCAGAACTCTCACATATATTTATCTGCAAGTCATTTTCATGTTCACTTGCTATTTTTGGTGCTTTTAATCGTGCATTTTTCTTGTTTTCGTAGAATTGTTCGACCATCTGCTCCACTTAAGTTTCTTTGGACGTCCACGTTTTCCAATGTTTTCCTTACACGACATTTATCAATGACTCCCAGAATGGTATTCCTTGGTCTGTTTAAAACCTGACAAATTTTCCGCAACGATTTGCATTGATTACGCAACCTGACGTTAATTGTTCTCTCATCCAAAGAAATTTCCTACCCTTTACGA